ACCCCAGTGCCAGCTGGGGGACCGCAGGCCGCGCTGCCTGCCCTAGCACCTGGCTGGGGTCTTGAAAGGGGATCTGAGGCTATGCCCCCCACCATGTGGGGCTTGATGGGGAACCTGAGGTTGCGCCCCCTACCGGTCGGGGCTTGACAAGGGTGGGGCCAGCTGGGTCTGGGTCTCATGCGATTTTGAGGCCCTGCGGGTGGGCAGGGACGGGCCTGTGTGGAGGAAGTGTGCGGGGCGGTACGGGGCCTGGGCACGGCTGTGGGAGCAGCGCAGCAGGAACGAGGCTGCCTTTTTGCACCAAAGGAAGGCGCTACGCCTTCTCAGAGGGAGAAGATGAAGCTCCGATGCGGGGCCGACCCGCTCCCTCGAGGAAACCCCGTGGACAATGCCCTTCAGCCCGGAAAGCTCAGCGGCCGGCGGACATGGGCGCGGAGGCTGCAGCCGCGCTCCCTGGGGCGGGCCTCTCGGCCGGGCTGCAGAGCTGTGGTCCTGAAGGCCCCGGCCCCCGGGGAGTGGCTTCTGCACCGAAGAGCTTTAGGGCCGAACCCCTCCCTGTGGGACACAAGTGGGGCCGTGGCCGCTGCTTCCCACACCCGCCTCACCCTGCCCCGCAGGAGCCGAGCGTCGCTGAGGGTGGGGGTGACAGGTTTCCAGTTGAGAATGAAAAGACGCCCTCGCCGGTGTGGCTCAGTGGATAGACCATGGGCCTGCAGCCAAGGGCCCCAGGTTCGATTCGGGCCAAGGGCACATGCCTGGGCTGTGGGCTCGGTCCCCAGGAGCCAGCTGGTCAATGATTATTAAAAAAAAAAAAAAAAAAAAGCCTGGAGAACTGAAATTATGTGTTTTTGTGTTTTTGTGTTTTTGTTTTTTAAAGAGCGAGCGAGCCATGAAGTTGGCTCGAGGGGTTGTCTGCATTTGAGGACTGAAGTGCTGATTTGACCGCATGGATTAGGAATAAAGTGCAAACTTGAATCCACGTTGCCTTTCAAGACTGGAATGCATGAGCACCGGCAGGGAAACCTCTCCTGGACCCCACTCAGGTAGCCCCTGGGGGGGTAACCTCCTCAAGGGTGACCCCCTCAAGGTGACCCTAACCCGGCCTCCACTCGCAGAGGCAGAGGAGGGCGTGGGCGCGGTCTCCACCCGCAGGGGCGCACTGCTCACCCAGAGTTCTTTCTTTCTTTTCTTTTCTTTTTTTAAAAATATATTTTATTGATTTTTTACAGAGAGGAAAAGAGAGGGATACAGAGTTAGAAACATCGACGAGAGAGAATCATCGATCAGCTCTCTCCTGCACACGCCCTACGGGGGATGTGCCCGCAACCCATGTACATGCCCTTGACGGGAATCGAACCCGGGACCTTTCAGTCCCCAAGCCGACGCTCTATCCACTGAGCCACACCGGTCTCGGCCTCGCCCAGAGTTCTTGCGCAGCGCTGACTGCTGACCTCCTGAGCAACCTCCACCCGCTTCCCTGCTGAGCCCGGGTTTCTGGGGCCTGTCCTTCACTTCATGCAGCAAAGATCCCGCCCGCCGGCGTGGCCCACTGGGTGCAGCATTTTACCGAAGGGCTATTCCCGGCCAGGGCAATACCCAGGTCTCCCGTTCTTGCCCCCTCCTGGCAGGTACTGGAGACAGCCGTTTGATGTTTCTCTCTCTAATATCAATGAAAACATTTCCTCGGACAAGGATTTAAATTAAGGGGAAAAAAAAAAAAAATCCTGCCCTAGCTGGTTTGGCTCAGTTGGCATGTGGACTGAAAAGTCCTGGGTTCAATTTCCGTCAACGACACAGGCCCGGGTTGCGGGGTCTATCTCCAGGAGGCAGCTGATCAATGATTCTCATCATTGGTGTTTCTGTTTCTCTCTCCCTCTCCCTTCCTCTTTAAAATCAGTAAAAATATATTTTAAAAAGTATCCTAATTGACTTTTATTCCTGGACACTTTCACTCCCCTCCCCTCCCCCCTAGGAGTGTTGTTGCTTTTATTGGCCTGCTGTTTGGCTTAGCCAAACCACACCACTGCGTACAGGCAGAGTAGGCTTACTTGTATAACGGGTTAATAGCAAATATTTTAGGTTTTGCCATTTTTTTATGGTTCACAACTTTGTCTTTATAGCAGGAAAGCAGCCATAGGCAATACTTAAATGAATGAATGTGGCTGTGTTCCAATAAAACTTTAACACATTTGAATTTCATGTGTCAGGAAATATTCTTTTAATTTTTTCAATCATTTAAACCCAATGTATCATATTCTAGTGTAAAACCTGATGCTCAGAATTTAATATAGTATTCCTGGTGTAGCCTTTAATGTACAGTGTAGGGAGATTATTACTTCTCAACCTCCGAGGATACCCCTGGTTTGGTATGACCTAAGATTTTTCTTCAGGAAAACATCTACTCTGTATGCTTGAAAGAGGTGCCTTCATTTTGCTTCCTATCTTCTCGTTTATAAGCTACAGGGTTCCCTGAATTCTCAGAGGGTAAAGTTTACACTAGAAAGGGCTCTTTTGGGAGAGGCAACATATCATGGGCCCTGAGCATCCCTACATGTTCCTCCTGCTAACTATGCCAAGAAAGCAAGGTCTTAACGGCTCTCTCCCTGGCCATTTCTCAGGCACGTGTTTACAGCAAGGAAATACACAAGGCAGTGTCTCCTGGAACAAGGAGCATCTTGCTTTCCACGTACGCACTGTAAGAGCAATGGCCGCCCAAGCAGTGCTGCCTTCCTGTAAAGCAGTCCTGTGCTGGAATCCATCTAGGCCAGTCTTCTCAGCCTTCCTAATGAATGTAATCAGCAATCCCTAATACAGTTCCTCCTGTTTGGTGACCCCAACCATAAATTATTTTAGTTGCTACTTCATAACTGTAGTTTTGCTACTATTATGAATCGTAATGTAAAAAGCTGTGTTTTCCGATGGGCTAAGGTGACCTGTGTGAAAGGGTCATTGGACCCCCCAAAGTGTCATGACCCACAGGTTGAGAACCGCTGATCTAGGCCTACCTGTTACCCTCTTGTGGGAAGTCAGGGGTGGGGGTGGGGCAGGCAAGAGTAATCAGCTTAATATGAAGTCCAGCTACTGCTTTTGTCATGAGTAATAAGTTTTTTGTCTAATACCAGGAGTTTCAGGTCTTGTGTCAGCATCCATATTATCTTTTAAGTGGGGCAAAACCCCAAACTCTTCACAGTATGGGACAGATATGTAAAATAAGTTTTTTTCTGAGAGTACACATTTTTTTAAATTATATTGTTAAATATCACCCAAAGATATTTTTTTCCATTGTTCCTTACAGTGGAAGGGGGAGAAAGAGAAGAGGATGCAGAGAGAAAGAGAACATCAATGTGAGACACACATCAGTTGGTTATTTCTGCACTTGCCCTGACAGGGGCTAGAGATCAAACCTGCAACCCAGGTACATGACCTTGGCCAGAATCCAACCTGCAACCCCAAAATGTACAAGGGGTGACACTTTAACCCCTGAGCAATGCCAGCCAGAGCGGAGAGTAAGTATCATCTTGAGTATTTTGCAAATGCTCCTGAAGGGAAGCATTAAACACTTACTGAGGGCACTGTGCTTGTTATGACACAGAAATGAATGGGTCTCTCCCTTGTAGGGAACATTCTCCAGTATGAGAGTCAGCCTAACCCCTCCGTCTCACATTCCAATCGAATTCATTAGCATGTCCTTCAGACCCTAGCTTCGTAACACACCCAGCGCTGGGTCACTTCTCAACCACCAGTTTCTCTAAACCACTGAGACTGCTTCCTAACTGGTTTCCTTGCTTCTGCCCTTGAATCACTTTAGAGCATTAGTCTCCTGGGGAGTGGAAAAAGCACTGATATCCAGGCCCCATCCCAAGTGAATAATTCAGGGTCCTGGCACTGGTACTTTTAAAAGCTCCCTAGGACATTCTGATGTGCAGTTGAGAGTGACCCACTGCTGCTGACAATGAAAAGATATGAAGGGTTTTAAGGAAACCATGACATGGTCAAATGCACTACTCAACCTATTAAGCTGTATGTGATGTTAGTCTCAGGTGTTTTTTTTTTTTTTTTTCTTCCCTTTTCTTTTAAATGTGCATTAAAAAGGGTAAGATCAGGGGCAGGGTGAACAGTTACCTGGCTACAAAATAATCTAACCAAGAGCTGACTAAAAGCTAGAAAAGAGTCCATCCAGAGTGGCTATTGGCGGGGCATTGCCCTGTGCACTGAAAGGTTGTCAGTTCAATTCCTTTTTAGGGCACATACCTGGGTTGCGGGTTCAATCTCCAGTTGGGAGAAGTACAGAAGGCAACTGGTCGATGTTTCTCTCTCACATCAATGTTCTCCCCCCCCCCCCCCCCATTCCTCTCTCTAAACATGTCGAGTGAGGATTAAAAGCCAGAAGTGAAGTAGTGGCATGGGGATAGAGAAGGAACTGGAATATATGGGAAGTAAAACCAATAGGACTAAACTATTAGTGAAGAGAGTGGCTTTTGGCCTTCCTCTCAAAGTTATGGTGAATTTAAAGAGGGTTGGGAGTGAAAACAATTTAGTTTTATTTTATTTATTTATTTTTTAAATGTTTTTATTTAAAAAAAATTTTATTGATACTTTACAGAGAGGAGGAAGGGAGAGAGATAGAGAGCTAGAAACGTCGATGAGAGAGAAACATCAACCAGCTGCCAATGTATGATACATGCCCTTTGCCGGAATCAAACCTGGGACCTTTCAGTACGCAGACCGACGCTCTACCACCGAGCCAAACTGGTTTCGGCCAATTTAGTTTTAGATTAATCCACTTAAGTTACTTATTAGTTCCAGGTGATCATTGACTATGGTTCTGAAACTTGGGAAAGAGCTGGGTGGGAGAACAAAATTGAAGGTAGTGCATCCTTCGTTGGGCTGTTCTCATTTAAAGATTTGGATATAAGAAACTATGGGAGGAGTGGTAAACTTTCAATGATCTAATTTTGAAAAAATATATATTTTATAAATTACAGATGCATACTTTTTGCGCTCTGAATTTTCATTTAACATTTCAACTAAGTGCTGGAGCAATGGGTTCCAATCCTTATTCTGTTATGGGTATGTATATGTATATGACCTCAGGCACTTCAGAATCACCCCCACACAGAGTATGAGACTTGGTTGGAAGTTTGTAAGGAGGACATTCCAAGAAAAAAGAAGTGTGCTGAAGACCACCCACCCTGTTTATCGGAATTCCAACTTGGTGCCCCTAATTATTCCTTGATCTTTCCAAACAAGTCTGTGCATGTGCAGACCCCTGGGTGTTTACGGGAATCCGTATGCTTAATCTTTGGGTGTCCTTGCTTAAAGGACACTGCAGACACAGGTGTCCTCCCAATATTACCCTGCAGACTGTATCTAAAAGATAGACTTTATCTCAAACTGCTGCTACAATAAAAGCCTAATGAGGCAGGCAATTGAGGCTGCCTGGTTCTTTTAGCCAGGCAGTCCCTTAGCCCTCTCTTTCACTGCACGTGTGTTGGGAGTAATCCATCCATTTGTTGCCCAGGATCTGCTGGTCAACCCTGGCAACAAAGGACTCAATGTTGCTTAGAAGCTATACACATATTTATACATATTACTACAGTGCACATGCTTGCAATTTTTAATGGCTCTAGTGGTCTAGGGTTATATCTTATAGTGAAAGACAGAGCCATGAGAATATCAGAAAGTACATCTGCAGGCACATATGCAAGTGCATTGGTATCATAAGATACAGTCAAATAATAAAATCTAATAGCCTTAAAGTTTTAAAGACCAAGTAAAAAGTTTAGCAAAAATCCCTAGTATTTAGATTTGCATAAAACAGATCCTCAGAATTCAAATTTAGATCAGAAACATGCCTTCAGGAATGATGGGAAAGAAATGCAATTAGCTTTTAACAGTAAATTATCAAAATATGTTAATCGTTAAAACACAACATTGTAGGTGTCCTACATTTAGTTACTCTTGCTTTGTTTAATTTGCTTGCCAGATTAACCTTCCTTCCTTTTTAAACTTTTCTAATGGCCTCTGCAGATCTCTTGTAGTGAAGTTTTCTGCTTTCTAGTATACATAACACTTCTATTCTCTACAACTTGGTTGTATAATGCTTAGTTGTTTGCTCCTAGTTTGTCCCAATATATAATTACATAATTAGGTATTAGATAAGTAGACTCATCTTAATGAAAACTAAGTTATACCCCAGTAGTAATGAGCATGCCTAGCACCCAGATCTTGATTTCTAAACAGATGTCCATTAAAAAGAGCCAGGAATCCCTGGAGAAATGGTTATAAATGGGGCAATGAATGTGCAAGGTGAATCTGAGATATCTTCTGTCAGAAGGCAATGAAGTGCCCAAAGATGGGAGAGGGAATGTCAAAGCAAGGACGTAAGAGCTACCTGAAGGGTTCAAACTGGGCAAACTTGGGATAATTTGAGCATTAGAAAAATGATCACAATTTATCATAATATATTGAACCATTTGTCAGCACTGTCAACTCTTTAATATGACAATTTGTAATTAAAGGAAAGGAATTGAGCATGACCTTGCCTCAAGTGTAGCCCAGCTGATGAAGGTTCACTCTTATAGAATGTCAGTCAATAAATGTAGAAATAATAGAAAAATCACTGATTTCAAGACACGAATCTTCATTATTGGATACTGAAACCACCAGGTGAGTTTGTGGCTACACAGGCTATCCATAATCTGCCAAGGTCTCAGTCCACAGAAAAACATACTTTTACAGTGGGAAGATAAGGTGGTTATAACTGAGTGATCAAATTTTGCATCACTGATAGTGAGGCAAATAGGTATTAATATGACTTTGATATAATATGACATACATCTGTGAAGTGTTAATGTTAAAAATGTTTAACCTAAATACATCAAGCCTTTGGCCCCAATTGCTGATTTACAGAAACTACAGCAACAAGATAAGCAAACCACAGATCTGTTGACTTGATAAACAATCTGGTTGTAAAACAATAGTTAAATCCTGAATGTGAAATTCTAAAACTGACCGGGTCCATTAAAAAAAGTCCTGGAAAAAAAATCAAAGTTGGGAGACTGTTTTATAAAGATGAAACAAACATTACAATAAAATGTAGTGTGTGAGATTTGACTGAACAGGAAAAATTTAAACATGGATTAAACATTTGGTATTAGGAAATTACTCTTCATTTCTTGAGATATATAATAATATTGTGATTATAAAAAAGAAAAAGACTCATTTTTTATGAGATGCATTAATAGGGGTGAAATGTCATGTCTTTTATTTTTCAAAAAAATATGGCAAAATGTGAATTTTAAAATCTAAGTGACAGATGTAATTTATTCCTCTTTAACTTTCAGGAAATTTATTCCTTTAACAAATTTGAATTTCATGTATCAGGAAATATTCTTGGTATGACCTAATGTCTTTCAGTATATTTGAATGTCTTTATAATAAAAAGTTGTGGGAAATAAAACACTTGTATTATATTTAGGCCAGACAACTGTAAAAGTGGGAAAAATACACAAAGATTTAGGATTCTCCACTATTATTTTTTGATTATTTTATAAGGGCATCAATGGTTTCAGTGTTATCAATGGAAGACCTTTATAAATGCATTATTTATGCAAAACACATAAAAGTAGTAAGTACAAATTAATGCAAAGAAAGACGCTATGGATTATAATACTCCACACATTCCTTCCAGGAGAAAAATGGTGTGTAAGGTATAAAGTGGCATTATAAAAAATTGCATATGAAGTACAATGGTTATTTTTAATCTAATCACTGGCATAAGCATAATTTGAGTATTATACAACCTGGAGATAATCTATAATTTATGAAAGGCAATTCCATAACATCAGGGTAATGAATGACAAGCAAGGAAAAGCAACAACTTCTTGAAGAAAACACTCAACAAGAAAGCCTTGAAGATGTCTTTGCTTCTGCACTTTTTTGTAGGATGTATATATAGTCATGTCCAAATGAAGCCACATGGGTCAACACATGTTTAAATTGATATTTGTGGTGCCAGAATTTGTTTTTCTTAATCTAGCTCAGGAAAACTTCCTGTGCAAATATGTCTGATAGTTTCTTAGGACATATTAGCAATCCCCATTATCGATATCTTCAGATTCGGTTTCTTCATTTTTAAGTAGTTCTTAACCAACCAATGACCAATATTTAAAACTTTCTTTTCATGTATGTACAAAAAATTATGCCAATTTCACTCCATCAGTAAAGTCTACCTTTTTACTCATCTACTTATTAATTCAACTAACAGATATTGACCATCTACTATACGCAAGGCACTGAAGAAACAAGATGAAATCTCAGCTCTCAGAATATGGTCTAATATTTTGACAGTGGAATGCTGTGGATATAAAATGCAATGGTATTTTTGCCTATTGCTATTTGCATTTCTGACAGTTTTCCTTTTATATTGTTTAGGACTCTGCTCCATTATTGTTTAAAGATTACTGCATCAATGCTTTTTTCAATGAATTTCCCTCCTAAATTTGAAGAGTATACTTATATGAAGGAAAATGAATTCTAACTATTCCTTCAAAATCAATAATTTTTACTTTCTTCTTACAAACAGGATGAATTTTGTTTTTTATTCAATCCGTTTTTTCCCTAAGGTAAACCACCTAACAGTTCATGTTAACTTACCTATATGTTCACTTTCCCCAACTGTTGTCTTCATGATTTTTTTCCTGACTCCACTTTCTGCACTGAACTCATATCCATTTCCCATTACTTATTTTCCCTCACATTAGATTTTATTACTTCCTTGCTTTAGGATATGTAGTCAACGTTGCCAACCCATTTTAGGTTTCTTATGCTCATCCTATAATGTACTAGTTAAGCTCATGTCCTTACTTTAATCTTTCATCAGTTTAGAAAGCTTTTGGTTGCTTCATTTAGCAGTGAATTGCAGCAAAGTACTGCAAGAAGCCCTGAAAGGATCCAATTTAAGAAGTTGGGCCCTGAACACAGTAGGCACTCAAAAAACATGTATTTCAAGTTAAGAAATGGACTTTCCACAGTAAAACATCACAGAGTACCCTTAAGCTATAAAATTAGGAGGCAGGTAAAAAAAAAAAAAAAAAAAAAAAAAAAAAAAAAAAAGGAACAATAGCCTTTTTTTTTTTTTTTCCTCTCTCTCTTTTTTTTCTACAGGATGACAGATGTTAAAAACAGTGAAACTTAGGCTGTTTTAAAGATTAACTTAAGCTTGGGTGTTTAATTTTTGTCTTTAACTAAATTGAATTTGTACATGCCTAAGGGTTATATATATACACATTAGTTTTCTATCCTATCATCTTTCACTAAGGTTCTCTTTTTTAAATATTTAAGTATTTAAGGAAAAGTATAATTAAACAGTGGTCACTTAGAAATCTTTAAGATTCTTTAAAATTTCTCCCCCAAACATGGCAGTTATGGCATAATAAGGGAAGACCTTTTACATATTTAAGGCTTCAAAGCTGGGAAGAACTAAAAGCCCACTAAAACAGCTTTTCTATTATCCCAGGACTACTTTCTTCTGTGAGATCTCTGCTTGATGGAAGCTTTCACAAATTACATTCACAAGGCTTCATTAAAAAGTACTTAAAATACAGTAAGAGTTGGTGAGTTACAGATTTCTGAATACTCTTACTTTCACAGGGTTTCTTTCTGGAATAAATCAAGTAAAGGTTAAGAAGTGAAGGAAGGTTGAGCATCAATCTACGAACCAGGTCACTGTTGAATTCCTGGTCCGAGAACATGCCTGGGTTTTGGGCTGGATCCCCAGTAGGGGGTGTGCAGGAGGCAGCCAATCCATGAAGTTTCTCTCGTATTGATGCTCCTATCTCTATCCCTGTCCCTCCTTCTCTAAAAAATCAGTTAAAAAAAAAGTTTTCTTCTTAAATTTCACATTACATTTAAATAGATTATATCCACATTACCAATTGATACTTTTGCTCAGTGGCATGTAACATATATTGCACTTCTTTTGAATGTGTTAACACAGAGAGAGTACAAAATAAAATTTAAATGATTAAGTTGTAATACCTAAAGTCTTCATATCCATTATTTACGATGTTTGGCACCTGTATGAACACGCTGATGCTGAATAAGGTTTGTACTTTGAGTGAAGGCTTTACCACATATACGGCATCCATACGGCTTCTCTCCTGTGTGAATTCTCTGGTGTTGAATAAGGCATGTTCTCTGGCTAAAATCTTTATCACACTCATTACATTTATAAGGTCTTTCTCCAGTATGAGTTCTATGATGTTGATTAAGTGATGAGGAATAAATAAAAGCTTTCCCACATTCATTACATTTATAGGGTTTCTCTCCAGTATGAATCCTATGATGTTGAGTAAGATTTGCACCCTGTCTATATGCTTTCCCACATATGTTGCATTTAAAGGGTTTTTCTCCATTATGAATCCTCTGATGTTGAGTAAGGTGTACACTCTGGCTGAATGCTTTCCCACACACTGTGCATTTATATGGTTTCTCTCCAGTATGTGTTCTATAATGTTGAGTAAGGTTTGCACTCTGGCTGAAGGCTTTTCCACATATTTTACATATATAGGCTTTCTCTCCAGTGTGAGTAGTTTGATGTTGAATAAGAGTTGAGGAATGAGCAAAGGCTTTTCCACATTCATTACATTTATAACACTTCTCTCCAGAATGAATTCTTTGATGTCGAATAAGGTACGTACTTTGACTAAATACTTTCCAACACTCATTGCATTTATATGGTTTCTTTCCAGTATGTATTTTTTGATGTTGAAGAAGGTGTGTACTCTGACTGAAAGTTTTCCCACATTCGTTGCATATATAAGGTTTTTCTCCAGTATGAACTCTCTGATGATTAATCAGTGATGAACTGTGGCTGAAGGTCTTACCACACTCCAAGCATTTATATGGTTTCTCTCCAGTATGTGTCCTTTGATGTATAGTAAGGTGTGCACGCTGACTAAAGTCTTTCCCACAGTCATCACACTTATATGGTTTCTCTCCTGTATGAATTCTCTGATGTATAGTAAGGTGTGCTCGTTGGCTGAAGGCTTTACCACATTGGTGGCATTCATATGGTTTTTCTCCAGTATGCATTCTCTGATGTGCAATAAGGGATGAGAGGTGCCTAAACGCTTTCCCACATTCTTCACATTCATATGATTTCTCTTTGGTATGGGTACTTTGGTGTTTCACATAGGATGGGTATTTCCTAAACTTTTTCCCACACACATTACATTTATAAGGCTTTTCTCCAGGATAAAATTTCCTGTGTAAAATACCATATGAGATATGATTGAAGGTTGCCGTGTTTTCATCATATGTATATGTCTTATTATCTGAATGGGTATCAAACTGTATAATTAAGTTTGAATGTTTTTCAAAATCATTTCCATATATATCGTATTTACTAAGATACTCTTCTGTAGAATCATCATCTTGTGAAAAAACTGACTTCAAACTGAAATTTCTTTCACTAGTGGGAATTTTCATGAAGGTATCTGGTGATTGCCTCTCTAATCTGTCACCATAGTCATAAGGTTCTTCCAATTTGATGGTCTGGGTTCCATCTGTTCTGAATCCAGTAACATTTTTAACTGGATTACAATCTTGGGCTTCTGTTTCCCATCCTGCAATAAAAAGAATATAAAAAGGAAACTGCCAAAATAGAAGCAATACAATGAATGTGAATAAAATGCTTAATAAAGCCATGGCTCAGACAACCTCATAGGGTGGTCCTTAAGAATAAAAGGGCAGAAAAACAGAAGACAAAACTGAAAATGGAGAGGCTCCTCATTATTCAACATGGGCATAGAATAAATAAAATAGGTTAGGTCAGGTGACAGAGCTAAGAGAAGTGAATACAGTGGATAACATTGTGTAGGATAACTTTGGATGGCTTTGTGTGATTATAACTAGAGGCTCAGTGCATGGGATTTGTGCATTGGTGGGGGGTGTGGCCTGCAGGGGTCAGCCCGCTGTGAGAACGCCCCTCATCCCAGTTAGCAGAGTGGCTTTGGACCCACTGGACCCTCTCTCTGAGCGGCTGTTCCCGCTGCACTGGGGAAGCAGCTGCTCATCCTGGTCAGCTGAGTGGTGCTCCCACTGTGGTTGCACCCTGACCACAGGGGGCAGCTCCTGCACTCAGCGTCTGCCCCCTGGTGGTCAGTGTGTGTCATAGCGACTAGTCATTCAGCTGCCTGGTCAATTTGCATATTAGGGTTTTATTATATAGGATTATCTAATTTATATAATTAGTGCATAAAGTGGACATGCTATCATAACTCCTCCTAATCTACTCTGCACAATCGTACATATTATCAAAACAATTGTATGGTGCTTTTCATACTTAAATATGTCTACTAACTCTCCTACAGCCTAAAACAACAGCTCTCAAAAGTACAGTTCTCAGCCCTGGCCAGGTAGCTCAGCTGGTTGGAGCATTGTCTTATACGCCAGGGTAGTGGGTTTGATCCCTGGTCAGGGTACATTCAAGACTTACTCAATAAATGCACGAATGGATCCGAAAGCAAATCAATGTCTGTCTCTTTCTAAAATCAGTAAGAAATAATAATAAAAATCTTAAAAAGTACAGCCCCTAAGCTGGAGGCTGAGCATCACTGTCACCTGGGAAATGTTAAATTACTGCGCCCCATCCAGGCATCCTGAATGAGAAACTTAGGAAGTGAGGCTGAACAATCTGGTTTTTTTTTTTTTTTTTTTTTTTTTTTTTTTAAGCAGCCTACCAGGCTGTTTTGATGCACATTAAAGTTTGAGAATCAGTGGCATAAAGGTTAAAAGTTAGAGAGAAAAAACTTCAAAATACCTCCAATTTGGCATGTGGTTCCAAACTATTCAAACCTTTTCTACTCTACTGTATATTCTATCACACTTCATATTCAGCTTAACTTAAAGTTCAAAGTTATTCACATAATTTAAAACTACTTCCTCATAATCTTCTATAGATGCTATGCAATTTCAAACTCTATGCCTTCTCTTATGATACCTATTCCATCTATTAAAAAAGCTTGTTTTCTCTCCTTCTTAGAGTTCTTAAGTACAGATTAGGCTGACTCATTTAAAATTGTCTTCCACTGGCTAGGTGGCTCAGTTGGTTGGAGCATCGTCCTGTACACCAAAAGTTTGTGGCTTTGATTCTGATCAGGGCACATACCTAGGCTGCAGGTTTGATCTCAGATTGAGGTGCATATGGGAGGCAACCAACCAATGTGTGTCTCTCTTTCCTTGCCTCTCTCTCTAAAAAACGAATAAAAACATATCATCAGGTGAGGAAAAAAAACCCCACATATAAAATTGTCTTTTTTGTAGGTCAATATGGTTGAATATCAGCAGTTTCATATGGCTCAACCTAATATAATGTGGGGACATGAAAAAACTTGGCCTTACATTAAAAAAAATAGCCGGGACCGGTTTGGCTCAATGGATAGAGCGTCGGCTTGGGGACTGAAGGGTCCTGGGTTCGATTCCGGTCAAGGGCATGTACCTTGGTTGCGGGCATATCCCCAGTAGGGGGTGTGCAAGAGGCAGCTGATCGATGACTCTCCCCCATCGATGTTTCTAACTCTCTATCTCTCTCCCTCTCTCTCTGTATAAAAATCAATAAAATATTTAAAAAAATAAGTAAAAAATAAAATATATATATGTGTAATTGATTTTTCTTTTACATAGAGGGAGAGGGATAGTGAGTTAGAAACATTGATGAGAGAGAAACATCGACCAGCTGCCTCCTGCATACCCCCCACCGAGAATGTGCCCACAACCAAGGTAGATGCCCTTAACCAGAATCAAACCAGGCACCTTTCAGTCCCCAGACTGACGCTCTATCCACTGAGCCAAACCGGTTTCGGCTGGCCTTACATTTTTATTTCACAATTTTGTGTGTTACTTATATTTCCAACCTAGTTGTTTACTCTGGAACTAACTTATGCTTCTTTTACATTTTCTTCAAAAAATGACCCAAGACTGGACATGGTAGCCACTCACCTGAACTGATAAGACAGTAACTTGTAAAAAGGTACACAAACACAAAAAACATACAAACAAACAAAAAACTCTGATCCCAACCAAATCTGTCTGCAAAGCAATAAAATATGTATAGGCATAGCTTGGAGATATTGTGGGTCTGGTTCCACGCCACTGCAATAAAGCAAATGTCACAATAAAGTGAGTCACATGAATTTTTTGTTTTCTCAATGCATATAAAAGTTATGTTTATATTATACTGTAGCCTATTAGTGTGCAATATCCGATGTCTAAAAAATGTACCTATCTTAGTTAAAAAACAACATATTGTTAAAAAATGCTAAGCATCATCTGAACCTTCAGAAAGTTGTTATCTTTTTGCTGGTGGAGGGTCTTAACTTCAATTTGTAAAATATTCAGTATCTGTGAAGTGCAATAAAGTGAAGCACAAAAGTGAGGTATGTCTGTATTTGTTGATGTCTATTATGTTTCCATTATGAGAGTTTAAAACAGATTTAAGTTACAGTATCTTTCTCCTTTGAGATCAGATGGGAAACATATAACTCACAGACATTAAGAATTATTTAATGAAATAATTAAATATGGAATTTATAATGTAGCAAAAATAATACTAAATATTTCAGAAACTTTCTAAGATGCATATCAAAGTATAATAACCACAAATATATTCATTCAATGGAATAAACCATTAAAAAAGGAGTAGCATAGGGGATAATGGAGAATTGATAACTGATAAAAGTAATTAGGTAGGTCTATGTACATTAATACACTTGATCTTAGCCAAAAGGCCGAGAAGCGATATGTACATTAATATAAAATGATGTACAGGACGTATTATTAAGTGAAAACAAAATAGGTAGGTATATAACAGTATGTAGAGCAAGAATCTACCTATGTAAAGATGTTACATATCTTATAAATAAAAAATACGCACATATATTTATACACATTATGCACTATAGTGATAATCTAAGGGAAAAAGTCTTAGTAATGGGTGAGAGGAGAGAGATTTTATTTGGCTTTCTTGTGCTGGTTGAATTTACAAACTATTTTTATTATTTTGATTTCAATTAAAAAATCAGAGTTGATACTAGAAAATGGTTAGGACTAATCTATACTAATAAAAGGGTAATATGCAAATTGGTCAGGACACCCTCACAGTAATGACTGAACAGCAGGCTGTGGGGGTGACCAGGCTGGCAGGGGAGTTAGTGAGAGATGACCAAATGACTGAACAGCAGGCTACATGGGGCGATGAGGCCAGGAGGGTGGTTAGTGAGAGACGACCAAATGATTAAATAGCAGGCTGCATGGGGCAACCAGGCTGGCAGGGGGGGCAGTTGAGGGTGATCAGGCTGGGGGGGGGAGGGAGGGAACAGTTGGGGGTGACCTGGCTAGCAGGAAGGCCAGCAGTTAGAAGTCAGTGGTCCCGGATTGTTAGAGGGGTCCCAGATTGTTAGAGGGATCCCGGATTGTTAGAGGGATCCTGGATTGTTTGTTAGAAGGATCCCGGATTGTTAGAGGGGTCCCGGATTGTTAGAAGGATCCCGGAGTGTTAGTTAGAGGGGTCCCGGATTGTTAGAGGGATCCTGGATTGTTTGTTAGAAGGATCCCGGATTGTTAGAGGGGTCCCGGATTGTTAGAAGGATCCCGGAGTGTTAGTTAGAGGGGTCCCGGATTGTTAGAGGGATCCTGGATTGTTTGTTAGAAGGATCCCGGATTGTTAGAGGGGTCCCGGATTGTTAGAGGGGTCCCAGATTGTTAGAGGGGTCCCGGATTGTTAGAGGGGTCCCGGATTGTTAGTTAGAGGGGTCCCGGATTGTTAGTTAGAGGGGTCCCGGATTGTTAGAGGGGTCCCGGATTGTTAGAGGGGTCCTGGATTGTTAGTTAGAGGGGTCCCGGATTGTTAGTTAGAGGGGTCCCGGATTGTTAGTTAGAGGGGTCCCGGATTGTTAGTTAGAGGGGTCCCGGATTGTTTGTTAGAGGGGTCCCGGATTGTTAGTTAGAGGGGTCCCGGATTGTTAGAGGGGTCCCGGATTGTTAGTTAGAGGGGTCCCGGATTGTTAGTTAGAGGGGTCCCGGATTGTTAGTTAGAGGGGTCCCGGATTGTTAGAGGGGTCCCGGATTGTTTGTTAGAGGGGTCCCGGATTGTTAGAGGGATCCTGGATTGTTTGTTAGAAGGATCCCGGATTGTTTGTTAGAGGGGTCCTGGATTGTTAGAAGGATCCCGGATTGTTAGAGGGGTCCCGGATTAGAGAAGATACTGGCTGGGCTGAGGGGACCACAACCCCACCCCCTGCCCGTTCACAAATTTCGTGCACTGGACCTCTAGTGTTAAATAAAAAAAGCAGTATCATAACTAGCACGAAAACTCAGAGACAAATATTACCAGAATGCTAACAATAAAATTATAGATTTTTAAAAGTGTTTTCTAATATTTAATAAATTGGCTAAGCCTTTCATTGTTTAGCACTAGAAATGTAGTTCTATTACTTTTATAGAAAAAAATTCAAAACAACTTCTTCAAAATAGATTTGTTACTTTTCCCCCACTCCCAAAAGGAACAAAATGAGAATGTTAATGGACTGTGTAGGTAAATACTTGAGTGTGCAAACATGTACATATA